GAGTTAGATCAGTCAAAGGAGAGGCGACTGTAGAATAGTTCTTAACGAAGTTTCTATAGTAGCCGCACATTCCTAAGAATGATCTGACCTCAGTGACTGCCTGAGGTCGTGGCCAGTCTCGAATACTAGCCACCTTCGCATCTTCCGGCCTAATTCCCTCCGCGGATACTTCATGACCCAAGTATAATATCTTAGTGCGACCAAACTCGCACTTCTCTAAGTTGACCTTGTACTTGTGCTGTCGCAGGAGTGAGAGAACTGTCTCAACATGCTGTGCGTGCTCCTCGGCAGATTTACTAAAGATCAGAATGTCGTCTAGATAGACTACGACGAACTTATCTAAATGGTCATGGAAGATCCTATTCATAGCGTGCTGGAATGTTCCCGGCGCATTACAAAGACCAAAAGGCATCACTACAAACTCATACAGACCATAACGAGTCTGAAAAGCTGTCTTGTGTTGGTCCTCAAGTCTTATTGCGATCTGGTGATATCCGGATTTCAAGTCTATCTTTGTATAGTACTTGCATCCCTGCAGCCTATCCAATAGGTCGTCTATGCGAGGTAGAGGCTCTGCGTTTTTCACTGTGATGGCATTGAGGCCCCTATAATCAATGCACATCCTCAAAGTACCCCCCTTCTTCGATACGAATAGCACGGGTGATCCGTAAGGGGAAGTACTAGGCCGAATCCATCCCTTCTCTGTCAGCTCCTTGAGTTGCTTCCGAAGTTCATCTAACTCGGCAGGGGCCATCCTATAGATCCTTCCCTTTGGGGTCTTACTCCCTGGAATGATTTCTATAGCGTGGACGACTTCCCTATCAACAACTCCTGAGGGCTCCTCGAACAGATCGGGGAACTTAGCAACGACGCTTTCTATCTATGGGGGTGTTTTAACGACCTCCCCCTTCTCAGAGACATAAACGAGGTACATACCTTCCTCTTGGTTTTGCTTGTAGTAATAAAATGCTGATGCACACAAGCAACCATAGGTATCGATAATACTGCTGGCCTTGAACTTAGTCAATCTGACAGTTCGGCCTTCGGGCAACTTGTATTTAAGCACCTTCTTATCCCAGTCGAACTGGGGTTCAGCAACTTCGAGGTAGTACATGCCTAACAACATATCGAATGGCACGTCGTCGCTAACCAAGAACGAGATCTTATGGTTAAGCTCACCTCCTCCATAGGAGAAGGTACAAACTACGTTCTTGATATAGTCTGTTACAATCATGCGCTCCTTGTTGGCCAAAGTAGATGCTACTGGTCTACTAAGGTGCCGTACCCGGTCCTAAAGGTGCAGCCTTTCAAAACAGTCGCGACTTATGTAATTCCGCGTGGAGCCTATGTCTATGAAGGCACCACATTTGCGGCCTCCTACATCGACTTCCACCACGAAATGTTCCCCTCTAGGACCTTTCCTCAGCGCCACCCAAGACTCGCGAGGGTCCTTGTTTGACCACTCACTTTCTAAGTCCTCTAAGGCTTCAGACATATCTAACGTACAGAGCATAGTTTGGTCTATTTGTGTCTGCGGGGTGACTAAGGAGTCATTAGGTTCGGCCTTGTCATGAAGTGAGGAGGGTATCATTCCCACTTCATCTTGAGTAGAAGCCGCTACTACTTCCACTGGCCCTACGCGTTTCCCGAGCTAGAAGCTTGGGAAGAAGATGCCCCCACCTTAGGAGGTATCTTCTGCGTGACCTTAGCGTTCTGGCACTTGTACTGGGTGTGTCCGTACTCACCGCAGTTGATACAAGCACCACGCGTTCGACGATCTCGCCACACGTCTTGATCAAGACCGGCCTTAACCCAATCAGCCTGCTTGGTCTGATTGGAGGCGGCCTTCCCTTGACCCCTAGGCTTGCCCTTCCCTCGGCCTGTCGCCTTAGTCTTAGCTACCGCGGCGAGGGTGCTACCCTCAGCTACCTCCTCGCCGTCATACTCTGAGTAGTCCATCAGGTCAGAGAGCTCGTCGATCTCTGTTTGAGTCCCATCAGACTCAACCATCATCAACTTCGCCCCCTTCTTCTTCCACTCCTGAGGACTCTTCTTCTTCTTTGAGTCATTCCCTGAGGTGGGTTGAGCATTGCCTAGTGTGGCCTCTAAGTCTAAGGCTTTCCTAGACAATGTCTCAAACGAGTGGTACTCGGTGCGTGCCTCACTGGCTAGTAAGTTCCTCATGTTCTCTGGGAGACATCTGACAAACGTAATCAAACCGGGACCGCTCTCAACCATGTGTTGAGTTCTTCATCCTTTCTCTCACCTGAGAAGGCAAGAGGCGGTTTCATCGGGGTCTTAGGATACCATTGACCTTGTTGCTGTCCCTGTAAAGGAACAGGTTGTTGTGGTGATGTAGCAATCAACGCTGGACCCGAAGAAGAAGACGCAACAGTCTGTGAGACTGCTGCAGACGTACCACTTGGCTGTGTGCCAACTTGTATGGGAAAGGGGCCTGAAAGGGGCCTGACATCCCCGTTAACGGCAACGGCGATTGTGCTGGTGGCCGGAATCCTGGCTTTGTTAATGCATCCAGGATCTGGTCCAAAGTGCTCTGCATGAAGTCCATCCTGCTGTCAATGTGCGCATGCAGTGACAACATGTTGTTCTTCAACACTTTCAGGGGGTCAGACAAACCCGTTTCGTCCAATCCCTCTAACGCAGCCTTGTCAGCCTCTAACGTATCAAGTCTGGCTGCTCTACTTTTTATCTCTTTTTCTCTATCGGTAGCTTTCTTCAGATCCTCCTCTAACTGCCGGCGGAGCCTCTCGACCTGTTGGATCTCCTTGAGCTCCCTTTCACGTGGGGTCAATGGGCTGAACTGCGAGCCCGCCATTTGACTAGAAGACTGTCTAGAACCTGTGGAACCGGAAGTGCCTGAGGAACTTGTGGAACTCGTTGGCATTCCCAACTGAGTCCCACTATTCCCTGACGAGGACGCAGACGATGACGCAGCAGAGCTTGTGCCGTTAGCCATTGCTGCTGCTCTGGCTGCTGTTGCCCGCTCTCCTGCTACTCTGTTTGCTTCCTGTAGTCCTGCTGCTAGAGCACGGGCTCTACGTTCGGCACGAAGCCGTCTTTCTTCTCCCTCGTCCAAAGTCCTGAACTCGTCCAAAGTCCTGCTACTCTGTCTTCTATTGTCAGCTCTATCATCAACAGGATCTGACCCACTCATTAGTTAGGCAGATAGTGTCTACACTAGAATCCCCTATTGGAATCCTACCGCAGCATGTATCTGTCCGACACGTAATTTTCTAGAAATAGTTGTGTCCGGCGAGTTCCCTACTATACCGAATCAAGTGGCATGTCTACAACATTCACACAGATTGTCTACATAGTCTAGATGCACCCTGAATGGTTCACTTACRGCAGCATTAGYTWGAACTGGCTATGGTAGCATACAACAGTCCTACACTAATCTGTCTGTGAGGTTAGCAGTCTGTCAACCAACTAATCAAAGGTACAAAAAGACAATGTAGCAGATGTATGATTGATGGGTATGGTTGTGTATACAGTAGAGCACCGATTGGAACCTACCCTTCCCCTCAATCCAACCATCGAACAGCATCATTGAGCGAGCAGTGTCTTCGTGTGTATCGGCCCACCCCTGTGCCCAAGTTGTCACCGAGCAAGCCAGCCCAACCACTCTTATTTACCCTCGTACGGCGATGAGCCTTCCTGTCCATGTGATCTGGCTGATCAGGAGGTATTTATAGAGCTCCCCCATCTCTTCAGGAATTCTTTAACGTCGCAATCAGGACGACGATCACAGCCAGACTCACAATGAACTCCCAACCAGAAATATTTATAGACGGTCTGGTAAGCGTCTGTCATGGGCTGGCACACCCGGAGGAACTTCTATTAGCGCAGCAAGTGCCAAACAGGACAGCAGCCATCGCATGCGTGCACTACTCCCTGTGGGTTGGCATGGTGACCGTGACCCAAGTGCTTCGACGAGGGCCCTTCAGAGGCACCGCCCTTTCTCCTTCCAGTATGCTTCCGGGAAGATTGTCATCTCTCAAGGTAGCGCGCTCACAACACCTCACCAAAAGAGAGGACTCTCAAGTTGGACTCACTTCCTCACGGTAAGAAGAGATTGAGAGAGTAGATAAGGTAAGGGATCAACATACCTGGAGATAGCTGCCCCCAACCACAGATTTCTCACCAATTGAGCTGATGTTGCATTTGATGACCGGTCATGACCTCGGTACCACCCACAATGCAATGCAGTGCCACCTTAGTCCAATGCACATCAGCATGCTCTCATCATCAATCAAACATTCCGCTGTATCCCATGGCATACAATGCCGAAATAGCCTTCCAGTGCACCCCTCTCTACCCAGGGCGTGCACCTATCAATGGCCTGACGTCACAAGTACCAACTGCGAAGAAGCATCATCAACGCACCAAGTCTGTATAACGCCAGCACGCCGAAGGTAAGTGGCGATCAAACCAGCTCCGATACCAAATTGCAAGGAACATGAGTATGGACGAAGCACAGAAATCCAGAATGCAAAATCACACTGAAGTCCAAGTAKTCAAAGCCAAAGCAGATAGCACACGGAACCGAGTAACCATCCAATTGAGAATGATACAGAAGAATCGTGAGTCAATGTCCATGCCCATCAGGGCAACACCAACAGCATAACCCAAATGTAGCTCTCTCTTGTGAATGGTGCCAGGCGCCCTATCTACTCTACAGCCTATCCTACAACTACAGCAATGAACAGCAACCAGACAACTTGACTACCAGTGAGTGATGATGTCAACACCAATGCCGACCTCCACCTTCACCAGGTACGTGTCCTCTTCCCCACACTGTCCCTTGTTACCCACACAGCGCCCTTCACCTCCGAAGACCACCTTCGCCCTTTACCCCTCTGCGCCCTCTGCAGCCCGGCTATGGCCGCCAAGCGCCCTGTATGCAGGCAGTGCCCTACCGCCTAGCGCTGRCCTGGTTGCTCTTAGCGCAGCACTGCCTTGCACAGCGCAGCACACATGCATCCGCGCAGCGTGCCCGCAAGTGCCAGCATTGGCCAAGATCCCTGCTCCCTCGCCCTGCTTGCCTATATGCCAATGCAGCGTGTGGGCGGCCTCCCTTCAGCCTGTGACCGGGACCCAGAGGCTGAAGCCAACTCGATACAGTTGGGCCCCGGGGTAATGCAGTTGCGCCTCTTTCATCAAGGCCTGTGGCCAGATTCAGATAGTGGGCCGATTTCCCTTTGGCATTTTCGGCCTCTCTACCCAGCATGCATTGTTGTTCTCACGTTCGAGTGCCCAGGGCCTAACTAACTCAGAGGCCCTGGGCTTTCAGCATTTGCTGAAATCCGAGTCTCGGTGCACACCAACCAACTGGCGTGCTGCAACTGTATGAACCCCACTTCGTGAAATGTTGGCACAGAGGGCTCTTGTTGATTTGCTGGCCCGCCTTCACTTAGGGCGGGCACGAGGCTTGCTGGGGCCTTAGCCCAGAACATGTACATCATGGCAAGGCCCCTACTTGAGGGCTCAATCCTCACAAAAAATAAAACGAGAATGAAATTATTGAGTGGGCAAGCACGTTTTTGACACCGCCATCTTTGGTGATTTTTCATTGTTTTTTGGCTGTGACAAATGCCATGAAAATTTGTATACGTGTATCTTACATAATAGAGAATATACAAATGAAGCTGGGTAAGTTTTCCGGGCCGCCCGGCGGACCGGCGGGGGCCCGGGGGGGGTCCCGGACGGCCTGGCCGGGCAGTGCACCCGGTCGGTCGCCGGCCCCCCCCAGCGCACAGGGTATTTCGGGGTTTTTCGACCCCATTTCAAATGCTGGTGGGCTCCCGCAGGCCTACCGGGTCCGACCGGCCCGAAAATCCGTGGCATCGGGCCCGATAGGCCTGCGGGAGTGGGTTTGAAAATTGCGGCGGGTCTGCGGCCGTCGATCCGCCTTGATCGACGGCCACAGAGCCGTCGCAAGTTTCCCGCCCAGATTTGAATGGCGGCGATCTTGCCCGCAGCCCGTCCGTGGGTGTTCGCTGGAGCTGCCCCCTTCGACCCGCAGCCTTTCGAAGTTGCGCCGCCCGTGGTTGTTCGCTGGAGCTGCCCCCTTCGCCCGTCATTCGTCGTCGCCGTTCGCAGGAGCTCTTCCTCGCCCGCCGCTCGTCGTCGTCGTCAGCTGGAGCCGGTCGTCGTCGCCCGTCGCCGTTTGCAGGAGCTGCCCCCTTCACCCGTCGCCGTTCGCAGGATCTGCCGCCATTCTTCTTCTTCTTCTTCTTCTTCTTCTTCTTGCATCAGTCGACCTTCGGCAGTTAACGGCGATCTTTATCTTCTTCGACCTTTTGGCTGTTTGGGGCAGGGCACATCTTCGGCGACCTTAGGCAGTTGTCGCGAACGGCGAACGAAAAAAAGAAAAAAAAAAGAAAAGGCTGTCCTCCTCCCCCTCCTCCGCTCTTCTTCTTCTTCTTCTTCTTCTTCTTCTTCTTCTTCTTCTTCCTCCCCCTTCTTCCTCCTCCTTCGTCCGTCACATCTCGCCATCCATCCCACCATCCCATCTCGCCATCCATCCCTTCTTCCTCCTCCTTCTTCTTCTTCTTCCTCCTCCTCCTTCCTCCTCCTCCTTCCTCCTCCTTCCTCCTCCTTCTTCTTCCTTCTTCTTCTTCCTCCTCCTTCCTCCTCCTCCTTCCTCCATCTTCTTCCTCCTTCCTCCTCTTCCTTCTTCCTTCTTCTTCCTCCTCCTTCCATCACATCTCGCCATCCATCCCTCCATCCCATCTCGCCATCCATCCCTTCTTCTTCCATCCCATCTCGCCATGCATGCAGCAGACATCACAGCAGCAGGCAACAAACATGCAGAGCCCCCAACACTGCACATATCAGATGACCTGCATTCAGCATTCAGCAGGCAACATGCATGCAGAGACCCCCCCCCCCTGAAACCCAAAATGTTATTGCAGATTCGGGGTCCTCTCGCCGAGCGCGGAAAGACCCCGCCTTCAGAAAATAAAAATAAAAATTTCTCGGGTGTTTTTCAGGCCGCCCGGTTTGGCTGGGCGCCGTCCTCACCCAGAAATGAAGTTAAAAAAAATAATATTTTGTTTCATGCCCCGAAATAAAGGAAAAACGAGAAGTGAAAAACTTCAAAAAAGAGAATCTTGGGTTTATGAAAACGCGCGAAGCGATCACTTCGAATATGAATATGAATATTATGAATGCTGATAAATTTCATTTATTTCATGCTAGATAGATAGATTATCATTAAGTACACTGCGAGAACAGGGAGAAAAACATGATCGCCGAAAGTTCAAGGGTTTCTGCCATATAAAGCACCTCTGGATGCTAATTCACGGAAAACAAATTAGTGAGTGGGCAAGCAAGTTTGGACACCACCATCTTTGC